TACATAAATGCCAAAAATACTTGAGTATTTTACATAAAACTTAAACTTGATTTTTGTATGTGGTGTGTCACTGTGGCCTTTTCTATGCACTCCAAAGAATGCTATAAAGGGAAAAAGGGAAGACAGAACTGTGTCTGTTAATTACTCTAATGATTTGATGAATTAATGTTTTGCAACAGTCTTTAGACTTCTTAAATGCACAATACAAAGAGCAGGCACACTGACTTTTATGAAGGAGGATACATAAAAGACCAGATTGGTTCCCCATGTGATGGTGGCATGATGCAGTAAGTAGGCGTACGCTTGGGCTGACGCGCTGAGGAAAGTACTACTGATTTCTCTGAAGCAACGGTGCGAGGTCATGACGTTCAACTGCCTTTTTTCCCCTGCAGTTTACCTTCCTTGACAGCACTTTTCTTTGTTCCTGTTTGCACTATTTTGATAAGCAAGTGTTTATCGTTTATACTGAGAAATAGAGAACCTCCTGTAGATACCGCTTTAGAGCCCGTTGAAACAGCAGCCCGAAGGGGCACAGTAGGGGAACGGTTCTGTTAGTTTGCTGATCAAAGTAAGCACTTTTGTAGTTTATTCGGTACCTCGGGCACAAGTGTGAGTACTTTATTTCTTCTTTCTCAAGGTAACTTGTAGAAAATGTAGTTGATGCTAGTTACTACGTAGGGAAGATAACCTTCACCCACCTTAAACATGCCCTGGTGTGAGAAGTGTTTGAAACATAACACAGCCTGGTTCCTGGCATCTTCTGGTTAACTTATGTGCCTAAGTGCTTTGCCAAATGACTCCTAATGCAATGGACTAAACCCAATGTTGTTTCTTCTTCTTTTCTAACTCTAAGTGGAGAAAATTATTTACAAATCCTCATGTTTTGAGATTTACTAGTTTTATAGATGTGTTTATACTTTGAGCATTTTTAGGTGTGAATCTGAAATGGAAAAAGGAAATTAGTAGTAAAATCCTAATTCTCCAACACACATGAGTATAGACTTTTTATAAAAATCGTATATTTTATTCTTATGAATGATGTAAATAATTTTTTAAGGCCCCATTTCTCATGTTTGTTTCATCGTACCTGAGTTGTCTAATCACTGGTAATTCTTATCTGAGTAAGCACAACTGCCTTAGTGCAGGTGAGTAACCCACTTTATTTGAAATACATAGATTATTTAGCAGTATTGTTATTGAAAGAATAAAGTTAAATAAAACACTAAACTGCTTACACTGGTTTTATTTCTGTGGAAGCAGTTATCACAGATAAGGCACAGCTTGTTAATCACTGGGTAAAAAAAAGCACATAGTACAGGGGCTGTGGTCACAATTAAAGTAGATAAGTAAATTTTACCATGATGAGAAGACTTCAGAGGTAATAAAAATGTTGGATGTATTTAAAAAGAATGCTAGTACCTTTCTTTTTGGAGTTGAAAACATACTTTTTCATGGAATATGGTTATACCTAGCTTTTAGTAAGCTGATTCTGGGTTTGCGGAGAAAGGGAATGTTCCTCTGTGCCTTTTTTTTTTTTAACCAAGGTGTAGTTCATTAGCACTTGTGGCCCATCTTGGCTCCAAAGCAGTTTCTAAGGGCTCCTGACATAACTTGTCATAAAATATGGGCAGTTAAATTACTTTCAGCCTTGTAACATTTGCAATTAAAGCATGACATGTATTCATTTTAAGTATCATCTGAACTCTGAATTCCAGACCTCCAAAATCTGCGACTGCTGGGAGAAACATCCTATTGTGCAAGAGGATGAATGAGGTCATCTGTTTCAAAGACACTTATTAAAAACTGAAGATGACGAGCAGGGCAATAGAAGCACTGAAATGAAGTGCTTTTCCCAGGTCGCAGAGTGATGGAGTTGGGAAGACATCCTAAAGCTCCTTCATCTTGGAGCACAGACTATCTGCTGGACCTTGGTAGCTCTAGGCAAAAACTGTCCAGGTAAATGCACAAAGGTTTTTTTGCACACTTACTACTTGATGGGTGACTCTGTCTCCTTGGCCTCCCTCTTGTTAGGGCTGAGCTCACTCCTGTGGCAGTGAGCTCCTCCCAGGGCGAGTGGAGCAGCACGGGGTTTGGTGGTTCTTCCTGAATTTTGCCCAGTCTCTGAAGACTCTGTCATGGAAAGGTCCATCCACATCTGCTGCTAGACCAGCCAGCATTTTTATTTTAACATTGTTTCTGTATCAATAACTTAATTGACACAGAAATCAACCACAAGTGCTGATGCATGAGCACTGATGGATTTGTTGTATTTCTTACCACTTTCCCTCTTTCTTTAAACCAAATGCACCATCTGCTCATTGCTCTGGACATCTGTTATACATCTAAACATTTTTGAAAGGAGGAAGTAAATTGCATGGCCTGTCAGTGATATTTGTTTGGTGTGGCTGCAAATAAACAAAGACCAAACATTACAATTTTCATTGCTAAAAGTTAGAATTTGAGCCCTTTATGCATCAGCCATTTGCTGAGTGTATGGAGCACAGCGGGATACATATGTAACACCCAGGTTCAGAAAAGTTAATTGAACTCATTCTGTTGTCAATAAGTACATAAAGTTCTTATTACCAAATTAAACAGACTTTGTGCAGTTTTAAAGCGAGAACTATGAGCAATATTAAAGAACTAAGCTTAGGAAAAACAGGAGATTAGCTACTGGAGAGAAAAATTCAGTTGTCGCTCTAATGGACCTTTCCCATTTAGTTCTGAAGAGTTTTAAGATGAGGGTTGACAAAGCACTAGAAAAGGTAATTTTCTGTTGATAGCAAATTAACTTGCAAATGGTGCATAGCGTAAATGCCATTCTAAAATGCTGCAATCTCGGTTTTATGGTATTTTCACATTGAAAACTCCTGTGCACTCTTATCATAATATCTGCCAGTAGTAACTAAGATTTTGAACAGATTTAGGGGGTAGGGGAGGATGGGTAGGGGAGGATACCAGATGAGGTTTTATTGTGATTACACAGTAATGCAACACAGACTGTAAGTCCTTCTGGATTTCTTCTGCCAATGCAGAAGGGACTATAATTATAAACAGAACACAGTTGTTTGTTAGCTTTGCTCCTTTTCAGCATGAATAGAGTGATTTACTTCAAGGTAGCTTTAAAGAAAGTGGAATTTCAGAGATAGAAAATAATCATTGCAAAATGTGCTTACTTCGTTGTGCTGGCCCCTTATGTGCACATTTTTTGTTAGAACAAAGATGTCTTTCTGCTTGCTGTGTCTCAGGACACTCATATTGATAGTAAGCATTCTGCTTTCTATAAAAATTCTCTTTCCAAATGTCATGTGTCACAGTTCTTCTTTAACAGATGATATAGAACTGGTAATTATACAAAAATGCGGTGCTTACACTTCGTAAAAACTAGCAAGTCTTGTATGCATATTCAAATTACACTTACGAAGTAGTTGGTTGAGATGATTTCAGAAATATGCATGGTTGAATGTCAATCCCCATTAGCAACCAAACTGCTTTCTGTTTCATTGAAATGTCTTTATTTTCATAAACATTATCAGGGTGTTTAAAGAGCATCTTGTGTCAA